GCTATTAAAACATAATTAAATGTTTAATTTAAATCGGTAACGCAAAATTTAGGAGGCTTATGGCCCACCAAGACATAACTCCTTTACTAAAAAAGATATTTTACAAATCTGATTTAAGTGTAGAAGCTACAAAGGCAAACCGAGGAACAGGAGCTGACTGCATTCGGAAAGAGCGCTGCCAGTTCAAAGTCCGACTTTTCGCAGCGTCTTGTGGAGTTCCCATTCCCGAGCCTCGGGATCCCCCACCTCCTGGAAGTCCTTGCGTCAACTCTACTCATAATTCAGGAAGTGTGCGGCGCTTTTTGTACGGCGTACTTGCATTTCATAACAAGCTGCACGGCTGCCTGTCTCTCCAGGACAGCTTAATAAATGTCACAAAAAGTGCCCAGGCGCGGAAAGTTTTTCTTTTTCGCAAATCAAGAGCCAACTTTGAAAGTTAACAATTTAATTTCTGCGCAGCACTGCGTTTTAATGAAAATGCCATTTAATAAGTAACGAAAACAGGGGTGGCGCAAAATGCAGCCAGGCATTGTCCGCTTTTAATGAGCCTGCAAATAGCCAGCCCGCAAAAGAGCGATACAAATTTGCACATAACATTAATGCCGGCAAACATTTTGATAATTAATATAAAATCAGTGGGGCGGCCATTCCATGCTGTCGGCATTTATTGTTGTTTAATTAATCAGCCATTGAGCACACACAGTGCGGTCGCACGTTTACAATTTGTCATTGATTAATTAAAAATCTGTGGCACCTAAAAGTTGCAACTAAATGGGGAAAATGTGCACAATGTCCGTTTGACTCAATGGGAATATTGAATGCAATATCTGTTTAACAAATGATTATTCGTGGATTAAAACTATGTTGTGGTTAAAGATATTAATATGTGAAATATCACACAAATGCTTCAAATAGCACGAAAGCTTTGTAAAATTTGTGAAAGAGGATTGTTTGTTATTTGTCAGATATTAACCAAAAACATTCTTAAACGATGGGTTTATATTAAAGTTAATTATATGCGGTGTCACATATGGTTTTAAGTTTCAAACAAAGCCCACCAGAATGCAACTTTAATGATTTGCATTTTTAAACCTTGAACTGATTAACCTGAACGGATAATTTGCAACTATTAAGCTTAATCGCAGAAAATTATTTTGGTATATTCAACATTTAATTGACTTGCACGAGTTTCGTACTTTAATGAGCTTTATATCAGGTCTGGTGAATTAACGAATTTGTAGCTCAGTTTTATGGGCACGCTGCATAAATTTGCATTGTTTTTTACTTGGCAATAAATAATTAGCCGCGAATGAAGCCCGAAAAACAGTTGCAATTAGCGGCACACAAATTGCACTTAATTATATAATAAATTCAATTGACAGCTGCACTTTTTGTTCCCTCACATTGCCGCCGGGATTTCATGCATAATTTCAGCTTTATTTATGGGCTTAGCCTTATCTTTGTTTATGCACTTGTTTGCCATTATGATACAATTATCGCGATATTTAATACTTTTCATTCTCCCCCATTTTGTGATACATCGCCAAGTTTGTTGCCGACTAATTGGCTTTTGTGGTTTTATCCGATTGCCCGAATGACGTTAATTGTGATTAAATCTCGACAGCCATCCCGTTCCCTCCTCCTGAAACTTTGCCCAAAGCAATTTACGGACTGTAATTGAAGATTGTTGCTCGGAAAATGCTTACAAAACCTATTTTTCCCTCCCAATCTCTAATTTGCCTCCGGCTGAAGGCACAAAAATGGAAAAGGCAAAATGGCAAACTGAAAATTCAATCAAAAGTGTATATTGTACGGAATTTCATCAGGCATTCCGCTCCATATCAAAGCGCAAAAAAAGGGAAGAAAAGAATATTACAAATAGATTTCAATATCTGGATAAATTTATCAGAAAACAAAATGCACAGCCAGAGCAAAGTTTTTATTTCTTTGGACCCAAAGTCTATTTTTTTCGTCAGATGAAAACTTTTTGGGAAGCAACTTTGTTGTTATGCCCAGATTTCATTTGGATTTGTTTAAAAACGAAACATATTTTCTTGCCAGCGCGGAGATTCAAATATATAGTATACGTATGGCAAAAAGCGAGGGGGCAGATGCAAATCGCGGAACTGGAAAAGGGATCCACACAATGCCAAACGGCAGGTAAAACCCGCGCCAGACTGTAGACCAACAAACATTTACATAGATACTTCACTTCGTTTGCATATTTTTTAGCCACCTGATTGAGGGGTAATCACGGGAATGTCCAGTCAATCGAAGGAAGTTGAGGAATTGTGACAATCACCAGGGGTTGATTTCTATTAGTATAGTAGAATAAGAAAAAATATATAAGAAAGTTATTGCAAGTATTAGTTTAACAAAATGTTAATGTAACCTTATTTTTTTAATTATTAGCAAAGTAAGTTGATATTACTATACTATGCATCTTAAAAATCAATAATTATTTTATTTAGGAGATACAAAAATCCACTTAAGCTAACCACTCTTAATTTCATGCACAGGTCATTTTGGCTTCCATCAAACCCCCATTTTAATCTCGCCAAGTCGACAATGTGCCCATTGGAATTTGCATGCAAATTTGTTTTGTGCAATTTCCAATGATTTCCCATTCGCTGATAGCTGATGGCTGATACCAACAGCCCGGGGTGGCCAATGTGTGAGGATGAGGTGCTGGCGGCTTAAAAGCAGTGGTCAACTAACTGTCAGCGCATATTACGCATACGCCCGATGTGCCACTGGCTGGGCAGAATGATAAATGACGTCAGAGGCCGGGGGCTGGGGGCTATAGGGCATATTTTGCGCTGTATTTAGCAGCTAACCAAGCCGTATTAATTAACTTTTATGATGGCCGAGGCGAGCTAGCAGCAAAGTGGGCCAAAGAAAGTGGGTTAGATGAGTGCTCCACTATGCGTATGCGTGATATTTCATTATACGGCCGTGGCAACCTCCGGCAGCCTCCCACTTTTTGGATTTTATATCTAGGGCTCTCCTTTGGGGGTCCACAAGATTTATTGCCTGCTTGAGAGATAAAGTCATTATGATGGCATTATGAAAAGGGAAAGGCAGCGACGACGGAAGGCGACGCCGTGCGGCATTTAGGAGATATGAATCTTTGATGCATGTAATTGCCCCGGAACCCAGGCCATATGTGTGCGGCCCTGTTTATCATTGATTTTCCTCAGGCCCTGCCATTTATGGTAATTTCGTTCTTCCGTCTTTTTATCGCTTGTCTTGCACTAATTAAAATTTCATTAGCCACACTTCGCCAGGCCATCCATCCATCCGTCCATCCATCCGTTCATCCAGCCATCCATTCATCCATCCCAGGGCGACCCTTTGACTTTTGTGATCCCCAACCGTTGTGCATTAATTATGCATGCCAGAAGTCAAGGCGGCTGAAATGCTCAGCTGACAGCTGTCACCGCAGACAATCAACCCAAAGTCCCGCCCCCCAAAACCGTCACATAATCAATAATTTCCGCGGATGCCAGGCAAACGCACGTGTCACCACAATGTATTACTATATCGGGTTATATCGCGTTATATCGCCAAACTGCAGCTAACATTGTATCCGAACTTTTCCGCCTCTCTGGCATTGTCCGTTTTGGCAGACTTTCAAAAGTGCCAAAAGAAAATTGCGGACACATATAGACATGGCGCCTACACACATTTCGCGACAAAAAAATGGCGGACAAAATGGCGGCGCCGATTCGAAATGGCAGCGGGTCAGCGATGCCAAACGTCCTTTCAAGGTGCACTCTTTAAGTGCCGAGCATCCGCCGCACTAAGTGGTTTTGCTGATCAGAAATTTGGATTAAATTTTGCCATTCATTTGAGAGGCCAAACTTTCGAAATGCATTGTCTGCAAAGATGGGTTATCCAGAAGTTTTTGGAATGTCTTAAGAAGTTTGTGGGAAGAATCTTTTTTTGATGGTCTTTTGCGCAGCTGAGATATTAAAGTCGATTTAATTTTGAACTTATAGAATTAAATATTAATTAGATATAACACTTATGGTTTAGCTCTTTTAAGGTGGGATCAATCCTATAAGAAAATATATATTTAAATAAATTCAACCTCATCAAAATGGTATCTAAACTAATGTTTTTGTAACGAATGGCCTATTTAGTGGTTTGACGTAAACAAATATTTGTTCTATAAAACTATTTTACTACAGTTTCTTTTACCATAAAAAATTTAAGGTTTTTAGAAAATAGTAAAAGGCATTTCCATCTCCTGTGAAGTGAATCCAAACTTGGCTTAATCCGGTCGACTCATTTCCTTTTTGGCTTCTCGAATTTTACCCTGATTGAATTTAAGTGACTGGCTGCCGGCGGCTGCATCGATAGCGCATATGTTGCCAGTTGCTCGCAACGTGTGGCAAGAAGTATATTGGAATCGATCGAAGTGACTCCACGACTCGGAGCCTCAAAAAAATGTATAAAAATCGTAAAGCCCGTGCAGTTGCCATTTGCATACCAAGTGGAGTGGGCAACAGAGTGCCAGGGAATTTACTCAGATTTATGTTAATTTATTGAATTTAATTTGATTTTCTTTCACTGCAACGATATGTTGTGTGTGTCCGGGGGTAAATCTCGACTGCGAATAAATTCAATCAAGTATGGCGCATAAATTACACCTTTTTGGCGCCATTCTGCAAAAGGGTGCGTATCCTTAAGATACCATAGGGCAAGGCCATTGGAATAACAACAATACGGCGGCCATTTGTTGCTTTCCATTTTATGTTTATAATGGCAAAAGTTTTGAGGGTTGCCCTTTTATGTCTGTGAAATTTGAAGAGGCCGAGGTCAGGTCATTAAAATGGCAGAAAGGTTGGCCTGGCTGCTTTGTATTCATTAAGTAATTGAGGGAAAGGTGGAAAGTGGACACAAAGCATCTGGGGCTCTTCTGCTGTCCCATAAATTATTTACTGACTAATTTAATTATTGTTTAATTTGTCATGATGATGAGTTGCGTGACTTTATTATGGTTCCTGTTTGAGGTATTTCTGCAGGTGACCGAGTTCCGTTTGCTGCACAAAGTAGACAATGCTGGCGGAAATAACCAGATTTAAAAGGAGCTTAAAGTGTCCTGCTATTCTGTCCAAATTTATGTAGGTTGAGTTCCTCTTTCTGAACTTGGTGGTCATAAAGCAAATGGAAACAGGTTGACGGTCGCAAATAGAGATTCCTGAAAGAAACTTTGAATGCAAATACATTTATATAGAAAAAGAGTAATAGCTATGCACCAACCAATAAATCCAGAATATCCAATTGTTTAAAGGTATGACCTTTCCAGGATTTTTCCGCCAAAAATTCGTTCATTTCGCAACCATTTCCATCTGATTTATAGTTCCAGCTTTTTTCTATCATGCTAAAGTATTCGTCCTGCTGCTTATAAGCTGCTGCAAGAAGCAACATCCACAAAGCCAAGTGCCAGGATAATATAAGCAAAGTTTTCAGCAGTGGATCCCCAAGATTTTTCCCATTTTCTTGGCCTTCCCAATCGGCTTCTTCTTCCAGATCCTCTTGGCTCTTTTGGTTTTTCACAAGTTCATAGGAATCAAGACGTAAGAACTGCAAAAATTCAACTATCCGAAAAGCCACAACACATAAGTAGCATATGTATGACATTTTAAAATAGTGACCAGCAGAAATATTCATGTTTCTTTGTAGAAAAAAAATATTTCGAAGCTGAAACTGATACAATGTAAGATTCCTTTGCAATCTTAACTTTTTTAGGGATTGAAGCCATCCAGCATTAATCAAATGATATAATATATGCAGCGCCATTATTAGTACAAACATTAATCGGGGTAACCCCATTATATAATATGAAACTTTAAATATTTCGGTGAGTGTTATAGTTCTGTGCTCGACAGTTATTTTTGGCCAGTTGAATAATAATATATTTACTCCAAATATAGCCAGTAAAATTATTAGAAGTATTCCATAGATGAAAACGAGCCAGGAGCATTCCAGGATTAAATAGTTTCCCATTAGGAACCTTAGCTCTTTATAGGCAGATTGAGCGTCATCTATTATTTTCCACAGCTGATCTTTTTTGGTTAAAGACCAGATTAGCGTCAGAAAAATAAAGATGGTCGTTAAGTTCTCGTTCCATAGTTCGATTCGACTTCTTAAAGGTCTCCTTTCAATATTTAGGTAGTTTAAGAGCTCACTTTCCTTCTCACACTGATTACTTAAAAGCATATGGAAAAAGAATATCAACGAAATTAAAATAGTAGGTAAAAATCTGAACAGGTTGGCTCTTTGTTGATATACTTTTTGAGATTCACTAAATCTCAGCTGAAGAAGCCCAAAGAAGTGCAGAGGAAATCGCAAAACTTTGACTATGTTAAAGATGAAACGAAGTCGTGGCATTTCGAAAAACAACTAAAAGTTCCCACGAGTTGGTATTCATACCGTTACTACTCTTCGCAACCATTAAGTAATTGATAATTAAGTTAATGTGGCCCAATTTGCTGTTTATTATTCACTCGAACTCATCATAGAAATAAAAGCGGTAGACTTGACTAATTGTCTCTGTCACATTGCCATTGAAGTCTTCCTGGGACTCATACTCATAGTCTTGCAAAGTTAAGTTTTTGTGGAAAAGTAAGCGAATAACAAGCATTAGCAGAAGTTCACGGATGTGGGTTTTCAGGCAACTTCTCAGCATGGATAAAGAAATTCCAAACTTGACATCCCCGAATCCAAAAGTTGTTAAGCAAAAGGGAATTTCAGTTAGCATCAGAACTGGATAGTTGTTGGAGAACTGAAATGTATTTAAAATGTAAAAAAATATGTCGAATAAATATAGCTATAAACTTACCATCATAGTAACCACATCCTGGTTGTACGTCACATGTTTACGCTTTCTTATTAAGGTTACTCCAAAAGCTTTTGGCAAAGTTCTGTGCTGCAGTATTTTCCAAGACTTCAAGACGAAATTGTGGGGATCATCTCTTAATTTTAGATAACTCTTTTGAAATTTACGATGTTGTTTTTGCAGGTTCAAGGCAATTATTAAAAACAAAGCCAACAAATGTAAATGTAGTGTTAAGGAAATCATTTGACCATTCAGTTTTTGGCCAGAGCTCTGAAGTATTATTAATATTTTAACGCCCGGCTGGATCATAAAACTTATAATATGCAGGGCAAAATACTTGGATACACTTTGGTGAACCCGCCATATAATTCTTTGCTGTCTTAGTACTCCCCTTAGTATATGCAATCTATCACTTCTCATGTCTTGAGAGAGAAACACATTCAGGGATCTGTAGATACAACATAGCCAAATGAGATAGTTTCCAAAAAGCAGTAGCTCAAAGTGGTAAATAAATCCCACGCCGAAAATAAAGACACTCTGATAAACCGAATAGATTCTCAGTTGCCATAAAAGAAGTAACAAAATCATAACTATGAGAAGTAAGGTGTAGATACATTCTCTATGGATTTTGACACACAATCGACTGTCGAGAATCCTTTGCATTGATTTATGTACTCCAGCACATTCATTTAAAAGCTTTGCAAGATGTCTTCTTAGGATCAAAAAGTACACATAAAGTGGTACATACAGAAGAAAGACAAACTGATCGTAGATCCATCGATGACTGAAGCTCAGATAAAGCCAACTGGCCAGCAAATTAACCGCAGTTATTATATGCACATATAGTTGTTCGTCGCATATAAACTTTTTTAGTTTTTCCGAATAACCCACATTATAGAAACCTAAGTACAGGCCGATCCTTCCAGTCTGATACCACACACAAATCAGGTGACACAGACAAAAACCATTGGCAGTTGCGTGTTTCTCCATTTCTGGTAATGAACTGTTCTATCAAAAAGTAATATCTGTAAGGGTAATAATACATGCATTACCTTTATGGACTGAAACCTCGTGAAAGGTCGTTCATACTACGTGATGACATGATATATCTTGATAAGATATTATCGTAAATATAATTGCTACATTTATGGAACTTGCTGACCTTTCAACAGTTTATTATAAGAATTATTTTACTTTCGTATTTCTGAAATATTTAGTTGTATTTTTTGTAAAGCAATTACTTTAGAGTGCGCAACTGGCTTCCAACTTCATTATTGCCTTGAAAAAAACTTTTAAATATATTTATTTAAGGCTTTGTTCATAAATATGAAGAGCGTCAGCCACTATCAATTATTTTCCATTGTTAACATGCATACCTCTCGCTGCTTTTTTCCGCCCAAGAGAATTACTTGGCAAAAAATAACGACAATCATATTTTATGCTCTGTTTATTTGCGGAGTTGCACTCTGGACCGCTTTAACAGTTGACACTCGGATGCGGATGCGGATGTGGAAGTGGATGTGGCCATGGATATGGCTATGAAATGGGCTGGGCACTTAAAATGGCATAAAGCCATAAGGGGTCACCCCGTCGCCTTCCCCGTACCCCCAACTGATTCCGATTCACCTCTATATCTCTGTCTGGCCATCGCTATCGCTATAGCACCGGTGCTCATTCTCCCCCGGTCGGTTGGTCGGTGGCATCTTGGTCCAAGTTTGTTCCTGACTTTTTCATCGCCCGGCAAATGGTTTTACACGCGTGTAACTTCCCCCAGCCCGCATACATACATACTGTATGAATGCAATGGTGATCTCCATTTCCATCTCCATCTCCATTCCACAGTGCAGCACAGCATGTGTGGCCGCATATAACAATGGGAAAAAGTGCATGTTTTTATTACAAATTGCAATTGTGAAAAATTTTATACATGGCCGCATCGTTGTCCTCTCGTCGCCGCATCGTGTCACATTCCGGGGCCTTCGTCCTGTAACAGGCGTACTACGGAAAAAGGAGTGGCCAAACAGCAGGAACCTAGGGGTACACTCGGAAAATAGGGAAAAAGTAGGGCTTTCGGGTAAAATAATATATATATATAATATATAATATAATTTGTAAAACAGGAATATATAGAACTTCTAAAAATATATTTTTTTAAAGGATTAGTTAACTTAAGACTTAGCTATAAATCCATCATGATTGGTTGATTTACACACGTTTAAATTGGTGACCCCGATCTGCTCTTGATTTCATTTAGACAGTTATTTCGAGTGTTTAAAAGGGTTCGAGCCTGGGTGTTGGTAGCTGTTCCCGTGATAGTGTCGCCAAAAATAAACTGCCACATAAAACTCCTACCGCACATCCTGTCTGTGTCCTTGCCACTTGCCACTCGGGCTCCACTTTTTTTGCCTGCTGCGTGCGGCATGCATAAAGCAAATGAATTTATTTTTCGACTGCCATTTTTTCAATTTAAATGCTTTTTGCCTTTCGGCTAGTTGGAGAGTCTTTCCCACTTTTACTTCCTTTTTTTTACTTTAACTTTTTATTGGGATTTTTCTTTTTGATTCGACGCTTTATCCAAGCGTTTTTTTCGTCGATTTCGCTGAGCTATAAATTTTTGCATATTTTCATTAGTTGTCAGAGATGCTTTTGATGATTTATGCATGTTTTTGATGCTCTTTCGTTCGCCCTCGTTCCACATGCCCTTTCTGCATTTTTTAGAGGGCGCACCCCAGCCCAGCCGGCGATAAAAAATAAAACAAACAAACTTATTAAAAATGTAGTTTGGTAAGGCAAAGTTTTTAAGCTAATGAAAATTGCTGCAGTTGCCGGAATGTTGAGTGTGGACAGCTGCGCACTAAAAAATCCTGTGGATTCTGGATAAAAGAGTTGAGTGGAGGCATTGCGGCAACTTTGGCGGTAAAAACTGTGGCAGACTTTTGTCCAATTAGGCTATGGAGAGGCTTAGAAAATTAGACAAGCTGAAAAGTTTAGAGGAAACTACCTTCATAAATAGATAAATTTTAGACTAACGGTAATGATGTTAATAGGTTTAAACAGAACAAGTTTAGAATAGAGTGTCATTCTATAAGATTGCTAAAGCTTTGCCAGGCTCTTTCCCAAAAAATACTCAAAAGCATAAAAATAAAATTCCAAAAAACGCTCTTCAGTCCCATATCAGCTTAAATATCTCACTGAAAGCCCGAATAAATCCCCACCCTTTTTTCCCAAATGTAGTCTTATTTAACGGCCGTCGTAAATTCGCACATAATGAAGTGGTCGACGGATATCTGGCATCTACTTCGGTTAGGTGTGATGTGGCCCAGACGGGAGCTGCTAACGCTGATTGTGATGTTTTCCAACGCCTACATTCCTGCAGCTTTCCTCCGCCGACTGACGTCTCTAATGATTGTTTGACAAACATGCCCGGCTAACTGTCTGCCTTTCTTCCTGCCTTCCTGTCGTTCCTCCATCTTTTCAGTTCCTGCAAAACCCGACATCGGCCGGTCGAAGCTCTTTATTGAATTCCAACGTGGCGCCCGAGCAGGTCCTGGGTCCTTGCGACCAGCAACTGGGTCCTTGGGTATCCTGGTCCTTGGGTATCCGTGCCTCGGCCGACATGTACAGGATTTTAAAAATGCCACATAAAAGCGCTGAACGCTACGACACGAATTCAAAATTGAAATGACAAAGTAAACGGCGAGTGGAGAAAGCTGAGTAGGAAAGTAGGTACACCTTTAAAAAAACAAGGTTAAATGAATTAGAAAGTGCTTCTACTATCTAAAGTTTCCACCAATTTCCCAAAATGGTATAATTTAAAGCCCCAGAAACCTTTAGGATATTGAAAATCTTTTGTAGAGGTGTGTAAAAGTATGCAATAAAGTAAAATCTGTATAAAAAATTTATTGTTGCATACTTTTAGGAACTTTTGAAGAGATTTTAAATTCTTGATGAAATGCTTTCAAATTTTAAAGTTTTAGTAAATGGGTACTGTTAACATTCATGGGTTTAAATTATTTAGGGTTTTAGGAACCTTTTTTATTTATGTGTAGCTTGGTTAGCAGCGTAGAAAAGTCGCCTAAGGAAGGAGCCGCTTGAGTTTGACAGTTTTGGGTTATGCTGCGATGAACATGCCCGATATGCTGCCATGCAAATCTCCTTCGCAAGTGGCAAGTGGAAAGTCGAAACTCGAAAAGGGGAAGTGAGTAAGCAGCGATTGAGACCTGAACAAATTAATCGCCATTCGGTGCTGGACTGAAAGTCAGGTTTTGACCGAGTTTACACACTCTGCGCTTTATTTTCTTTTTTTCTTTGTCGCTTTTTGGGAAGGTGGGCTTCTGCGGCGAATTCCCAGCTTGCAAATAAATTAGTTTGCTACGTGAGCGACGCAAATCTGAAGTGGGTCTGACAGCAGCGGTACGACGGTTCGGGTAAATTTTTAAATATTTAAGCGTGTGCAACTTATCGATTTGGGGACCGACTACAGAGTCCGCTAATTGAAGTGGTTTCACTGTGTGGCGATGCCATCAATTATCCGCAGCTCCAGAATGCTTTTTCCCCACTAAAAGCATTTGCGCAGGCTTTCAAGTACAGAGATACACTTCAAAAACCAACTAACTTCAACAACTAAAACTAACTATGATGAGGAAACTGATTAGTTAGTTTACAAATTGTAGTGGAACTATTCAAATGAAATACGGGAATTTCAGCGTATTTTAGTTTAAAGAAATAGAGAAGGACGTAGGTGTCTATTTGCATGAAGATAAAAAAATGCTTTTATTCAACTACTTTAAAACCCCGGTAATTCTTAAGTTGATTAAATTGAACACTGTTAAATGCACAACTTTAACGCCTGCTAAAAGGTAATAATATTTAATCGCTGTGTAACTCTATCCTCACATTAGAGCTAAGTACTCACCAAATTGTTAGTGCCCCCCAGTCGCATTTTTGCTCCTTTGACTGCACAGGACTACTCGTCCTGATGTCGATGTCGTTAGTCCAATTAGTTGAAAACATGCCGCTGTCAGCGCCGCTGCACAAACTGCTCTGCCTGTGCCACATTGTCAGCTGCTTCGATTACCAGAAGAAAGTGTGCCACCTGCTGTGCCTGCACAATCTGCGTTACAATGGGGACACCCAGAAGTTCGGCTTTGGACATCAGGTGTTCATCTACTTTGTCTACTTCTGGAGCCTCATGTGTCTTCTCTTGTACTTTCTCTTCCTCGATGGCTTTGTCATCGATCGAGGCAGTCTGTACATCTACATACTGCCCTGCCTTTACTATATACACCTGAAGAAATCCCTGCTTCGGACTTTGAATGAGATGGCCAAGGTTCACAGGGAGCTGCAATTCACAATGGGAACTTTGTTTTGTGTGTCCGTAAAGAGGTCCTTTTGCTGTTCCCTACTGGTTTGCATTGAACTTTTATTCGTTATCTACTGGCAAATGGAGTCCTTGAAAAATGATATCCAACGCTGGACTGTATTTACCTGTCTGCTGGGTTGGCATCTGCAGCTTCTGCTCCTCGTAAACAGCTACATTTGGCTGCACTCCATCTACGTGGTTGTAAATCAGGTATTGACGGCGGAGCTCAGGAATAAACAGCGCTGGAAAATGCTCAAGATTGTACTGAAAGAACACAGTCGCTTGGGGAAGATTCAACGAGATATATCCCACTATTTCAGTGTCTATATATCATCTGTGATCTTGCTCATATCAATCATTTTCTACAGATCAGTAATCTTTGAAGCCGGCTTCGACTGGGATCAAAATCGATTGGTGTTGCTGAGATTGGAGAGTTGGCAGATCAGATATCTCTTAAATATAGTCCTCCTTATTGGCACTGTATTGATGGTTGTTTGGGACTATAAGTCGCAAAGGGACAAGTTCCTGAGGGGACTTTGGGAGTCCCAGGAAATATGTCAGAGGACATGGGATAGAAGGAGTACAAAGCGCTGCAAGCAGACCCAAGACATGATGGATATGATGGTAATATAACTTTATAAGGTTCTGTCTCTTTTTTTAATTCACATATACTTACAGATCCTAACTGGAAATACACCTAGATATATGATCTGCACAAGACTGATTCTTTGGGAACTTAGGATTAAAGAGGCCACCGTATTTACCCTGGAGACCGCTTTCTTCACGAACTACTTTTTACTGCTGATGATCACAGTGTTTCTTATACTTATTGTGGCTATATCGAATGGATTTGAAATTAGCTTTGAGGAAAAGCTCCTAAATTACACATACTTCGAGACATATTCAGAGGCTTCGGAGGCTATGAGCCTAACTATCGAGAACTTAACGTTGGATACCTATATTTTGAGCCATGCACTGGGCGGATAAAATCAACAGAGGCCAATCGTTCGAGAAATAATTATGCAAAGCACGTCCGCTGTGTAGATTACACAACCGAAATAAAAAAGAGCTGAAAGCAAAACCAATAAATCAAAGGAAAAAGGATGCTAACCCATTCATTACACCGCAAACACTCAGCGGGCCTCAGCCTCAGCCACTTAAACAAACCCCTTTTCTGTGAATACACACAAAATGTCAAACTGGAAATCTATTAAATTTCTCGAGGGGCTGGAGTTGTTCGAACCTTAATTAGCTCATAGCTGTGCAACGTGGCGTATGATTAACGCGCGAGTAATGAACGTCATTGCTACACGGTTAGAACAGTTTAGTTTTCTTCATTTGATAAATAGTATTTTTCAGAATTTTAAAAATGTATCGAAAATATTGATTATTATGACAATAACTTCGATTATTCTTAATGAAAAAATCTTTCTCTACTAAAGCATCGGAACCTCTTAGTTAACCGTGTCTTTACCAACCACATCGGAAATGTATGGTATTTAAATATTTCCAAATTATTTTAATCGATATACAAAACTTCGATTATTAAATTATTTATTCCCTGTGTGCAGTTATAGCTGTTCCTCACTGCCTCTGACATCGTTCGGCTGTGAATGATTGAATTAAAGTCCATTCGGTGGACCTGGCCTAATCAATGGAATTATGGCCCGGCCACGCCCACTTCAGTTCAGTGCACAGGCGGAAACTATTTCCGTGATTTCTAATTTTCGAACCGTCGAGTCCCGCGGGGTCAGTTGACTGGAAAATCTTTCGATTAACTGCATTCGGTTCGCGGAGCCCTGCAACATTAATGAGGCACGCCCACCGCCCATTAGCAGCCTTATTGTCGCCACGCCCCCACCCACACCCACACACACTAGTGCGATGGAAGCCCACATACACCCAACCAATTTTCGGGGCTTAATTGATATGCATGTGAGTGGGTGGGTTGGTAAATGCAATTTCCTTGTCCTGCTCCTGCTTCCAACTACTGCTGCATTCTCTAATGAGTTCGAAATAATTCCATGTTATGGCCCAGCTATCTGTCCATCTATATACACCCCATTAAAGTCCCCCGAAATCATTTGATATGCGGCCCAATAAATTGTGTAGTTGTGCAAAAATAAAAAAATACCACTAAAAGTAGTAGGGGACAACAAAAATGGTTAGGATAGCAGCAGAAAAGCAGAGCTTACGTATTGCAATTTGTGCAAAATGCAAATTTCCCCACTGATGACAGCCGCAATTTTGTGCTCCATTGTTGTTAGTGGCACTCGGGTTGTTGCTATTGTTGTTCTAGTTGTTGCTGTTGTTGTCAGTGTTGTTGTTTGCAAACGTCCCATTGTTAAGGACATGAGTGTGGACTTGTGTATATGTGTTGGTCTGAATGTTTGGATGGACACATGTCCACAGGCGAGGATAACTGAATAGGAACAGATTAGGATTAAGTAAATACAACATTTTGTATCACTGAGATTAAAAAGAGATGAAGTCTGGAATGATCTTAAAGAATTTTCGCCTCGCCTTAAACTATGTTTTAAAAAAATCGTTAAGAGGCATTTAAGCCATAGTTGTTGTACATGCTTGCTAAATCAACAAACAAAGCATACTTTTAGATGAGCCATAAAAAGTCCTCAAGAGGAATATGATTAGTTGTCCACAACTCTGTTAAAAAAGTTGGTAAAATCGTTTGGAAAAAGGCACTTAGAAATATTTTAAGGAAATCTTATATAATTAAGAGTATCAAACTTGTCTTCTGCACTTCCAGGTTTTATAACTTGAGTTTTAGGATCCCGACTTAGACGTGGGATACCTCTTTGAATTTGTGGTTGAATTCTCTAATATCCTATAATATTCTACATTAAAATGTATCTTAAAAACGAGGGTCAACATTTTGACCCATTTTCATGTTCGATATTTCCGTATTTCCATGGGTTCCAGAATGGGAACCAAAAACTGGCCTTCTACACTCTATAACTCGAGTTATTGAATCCCGATTTAGACGTGGGATACCTCTATGAATTCGTGGTTCAATTCTCTAATATTCTACATTAAAATGTATCCTTAAAACGAGGGTCAAGATTTTGACCCATTTTCATGTTCGATATTTCCGTATTTCCATGGGTTCCAATATGGGAACCAAAAACTGCACTTCTACACTCTATAACTCGAGTTATTGAATCCCGATTTAGACGTGGGATACCTCTATGAATTCGTGGTTCAATTCTCTAATATTCTACATTAAAATGTATCTTTAAAACGAGGGTCAAGATTTTGACCCATTTTCATGTTCGATATTTCCGTATTTCCATGGGTTCCAGAATGGGAACCAAAAACTGCACTTCTACACTCTATAACTCGAGTTATTGAATCCCGATTTAGACGTGGGATACCTCTATGAATTCGTGGTTCAATTCTCTAATATTCTACATTAAAATGTATCTTTAAAACGAGGGTCAAGATTTTGACCCATTTTCATGTTCGATATTTCCGTATTTCCATGGGTTCCAGAATGGGAACCAAAAACTGGCCTTCTAGACTCCATAACTCGAGTTATTGAATCCCGATTTAGACGTGGGATACCTCTATGAATTCGTGGTTCAATTCTCTAATATTCTACATTAAAATGTATCCTTAAAACGAGGGTCAAGATTTTGACCCATTTTCATGTTCGATATTTCCGTATTTCCATGGGTTCCAATATGGGAACCAAAAACTGCACTTCTACACTCTATAACTCGAGTTATTGAATCCCGATTTAGACGTGGGATACCTCTATGAATTTGTGGTTAAATTCTCTAATATTCTACATTAAAATGTATCTTTAAAACGAGGGTCAACATTTTGACCCATTTTCGTGTTCGATATTTCCGTATTTCCATGGGTTCCAGAATGGGAACCAAAAACTGCACTTCTACACTCTATAACTCGAGTTATTGAATCCCGATTTAGACGTGGGATACCTCTATGAATTCGTGGTTCAATTCTCTAATATTCTACATTAAAATGTATCCTTAAAACGAGGGTCAAGATTTTGACCCATTTTCATGTTCGATATTTCCGTATTTCCATGGGTTCCAATATGGGAACCAAAAACTGCACTTCTACACTCTATAACTCGAGTTATTGAATCCCGATTTAGACGTGGGATACCTCTATGAATTCGTGGTTCAATTCTCTAATATTCTACATTAAAATGTATCTTTAAAACGAGGGTCAAGATTTTGACCCATTTTCATGTTCGATATTTCCGTATTTCCATGGGTTCCAGAATGGGAACCAAAAACTGCACTTCTACACTCTATAACTCGAGTTATTGAATCCCGATTTAGACGTGGGATACCTCTATGAATTCGTGGTTCAATTCTCTAATATTCTACATTAAAATGTATCTTTAAAACGAGGGTCAAGATTTTGACCCATTTTCATGTTCGATATTTCCGTATTTCCATGGGTTCCAGAATGGGAACCAAAAACTGGCCTTCTAGACTCCATAACTCGAGTTATTGAATCCCGATTTAGACGTGGGATACCTCTATGAATTCGTGGTTCAATTCTCTAATATTCTACATTAAAATGTATCCTTAAAACGAGGGTCAAGATTTTGACCCATTTTCATGTTCGATATTTCCGTATTTCCATGGGTTCCAATATGGGAACCAAAAACTGCACTTCTACACTCTATAACTCGAGTTATTGAATCCCGATTTAGACGTGGGATACCTCTATGAATTTGTGGTTAAATTCTCTAATATTCTACATTAAAATGTATCTTTAAAACGAGGGTCAACATTTTGACCCATTTTCGTGTTCGATATTTCCGTATTTCCATGGGTTCCAGAATGGGAACCAAAAACTGCACTTCTAGACTCTATAACTCGAGTTATTGAATCCCGATTTAGACGTGGGATACCTCTATGAATTCGTGGTTCAATTCTCTAATATTCTACATTAAAATATATATTTAAAACGATGGTCAACATTTTGACCCATTTTCATGTTCGATATTTCCGTATTTCCATGGGTTCCAATATGGGAACCAAAAACTGCACTTCTACGCTCTATAACTCGAGTTATTGAATCCCGATTTAGACGTGGGATACCTCTATGAATTCGTGGTTCAATTCTCTAACATTCTACATTAAAATGTATCTTTAAAACGAGGGTCAAGATTTTGACCCATTTTCATGTTCGATATTTCCGTATTTCCATGGGTTCCAGAATGCACTTCTAGACTCTATAACTCGAGTTATTGAATCCTGATTTAGACGTGGGATACCTCTATGAATTCGTGGTTCAATTCTCTAATATTCTACATTAAAATGTATCCTTAAAACGAGGGTCAAGATTTTGACCCATTTTCATGTTCGATATTTCCGTATTTCCATGGGTTCCAATATGGGAACCAAAAACTGCACTTCTAGACTCTATAACTCGAGTTATTGAATCCCGATTTAGACGTGGGATACCTCTTTGAATTTGTGGTTAAATTCTGTAATATTCTACATTAAAATGTATCCTTAAAACGAGGGTCAAAATTTTAAGCCATTTTCATGTTCGATTTTTCCGTATTTTGAATGGATTTCAGTATGGGAACCCAAAACTGCACTTCTGGATACCATAACTTTAGTTATTGGATACCGATTTAGACATGGGATACCTCTATGAGTTTGTGGTTGAATTCTCTAACATCCTACATTTAAATATTCCTTTTAAAAGAGGGTCAACATTTTGGACGATTTTCATGTTTGATTTTTCCGTAATTCCAATAGCTTCCAGATTGGGAATCCAAAACTTTACTTGTAGATTCCATAACTTGGGTTATTAACCCGATTTTGAAGTGGGACACCTCTATGAATTTGTGTTCGAACTCTCAAATAATGTTTTTGGCCTAAGGACCTATTTTCATGGTCTTAACCTTGATTGTGCCTGCATGTCAGACAGCGTCGGGCACATACCAATAAACACAGAAGCCAGCAGGCCGGGCCAAAAGCCAGAGCCGGTCTGAATTCCTGA